TATATTTTAATCTGGAGTTGAATATGTAAAAAGATTCTGAGGTCTAGAAACACGGAGTAAAAACGCACACTGTGTTTTTCTACTACTGTTTTCTACAATTATATAGTTTTTTTCTATACTTCACTATTAGAAAAATAACATTTTAGGATTGTATCACCCTTTCTCATGGTTAGCTCCCACTGGTAACTCACAGTTTTTTAATCATTCATACATGTATACTGTGCTGGGTTTTTTTGCAGAGCTGGAAAGCCAGCTTTTACTAGTCTGAAATATGGCACAAGAAACAAGGAGGATTTTTAGGTCTGCATTAAGTGTTGGTGTCCAGGCACAATCAGCACTGAGGAAACATCTGTTGCAGGTCCCTTTGTGCAGTCTTAGAATTTCTCATACACACCAGTTTAACAGTCTTTCAAAGAAAGGAAACGGGGATAGGAGCATGCTTATTTTTATAAACAGGTACATTAACTACTGATAAAGGGGACAGATGATCTGAGAAAAAGATTTGTTATTATCTCCACATGCTTCAGAAAATAATTGTAACATGAGTCCTGAACATTCCCGTTATGCTACTAATGCAAGGTGAGGGTCATCCGGCAAGAAGTGGCCAGGAAATCCACAATAGTGTGTGAGAAAGGCCAGTCCAGAACAGCTGTTAACAGGTATCCTCTTCTTCCTGGGCAAGGCAAAACTTCAACCATTATTTTTTAAATGGATGAGTACTCAGACCATGAGGGGTCAGTTACTTCCTCTTACTAATTCAGAAACTTGTTATTTTACAGGGAAAATGAACAAGTTTCCATCCCACATGGGATTACCAAATTGAAATGGTGAAGGGAAGTATGAAACAGATGTGTCATTCAAGGTACCATGATTTTAATGATCTTATACTTACAGTCTAATCACTTTGAGTTGCACCCCTAAGCTTGTTATCAGGACATCTGTCTCTCTAGATGGCTAACACCACTCAGTGTTAGTTTCCTCTTCCTTCCCTTTCTTTGGAAGACTCAGCACCTACTGTGTGTGAGAAATCTTGCGAGTGGGAAGAGGGATCAATAAAATATATTTTCCCATTGACAATTGCCTGCAGACAGGAGTGTGTAATGGAGGCCGAAGGTTCTTCCTTGTCTCCTATTTCAGATGGTACAAACTGGTTTTCCAGTTCTGTCAAAAAATAGCATTTCTAAAAAGTGCTTGGAATGGGCAGGATAAAGTATTTTATTTAGAAAAATTGCAAGACAGTTAATTTTGAGAATTTCAGAACATCCCCCGCCCTGAAATTGTTTTCTTATAAAACCAAGTAGCATTTTTTTGCCAACGTTATCCCCAAGGACCATTGGAAACATCCTCTAGAGCACAGATGGTTGCAAGGAGTAGACAGCTACACCCACCATAATGTGTAGCGCCAAGGAAACATATCCCTGTCTGTAAGGCAGTGGTGGGGTTTTTTTTGTGGTAGGGAAAAATGTTACGGGGTGTTCGTAAGGGTTAGTTGCAAAGTCACGGGGCCTGATCATGCAGATACCTCCTTTGTGGATAATATTAAGATGAGTAACGATGTTTAGTAACTATCTAGCACTGGTACAATGCATATGCAAATTTAATCACTTAAACCCCTTATCCACCCCCAGCGCTGTGGAGGAGGAACCGCAGGAATTATTTTTTGCTGCCTTATAGGAAAGGGAGGCTAAGAGGTGAGGTGTGATTTAAGGGCAGAATGACAGCTCAGAGAGGGTTTTCCAACCCTGCACTGCTTTCCTTGCGCAGTGGTAACAGAGAAAGCCACGGCGTTCTAGAGAAATGAAAGTATAGTATAGATCTTCTGGTCTGGTAGGGGCAATTCCTTACTGACGACTCAGGCAGTGTGCTGAGCAATACCCATCAAACAAAAAACGAAAGGGAAAAACCTTTAGTCAGTGGTCATAATGAAATCTGACATGACTTTGCAAGGGTAATTGGTGTAAGGTGTTGTATGAACAGAGAGGTGTGAAACCTCTGCTTCTCATGGGGAGTCAGACGACTTCCAGGCAGCAAAATTAAAAAATGCCTTGGTTTAATTTCCTACTGTGTTTGGAACAGATGACAGTCCAGTTGTGACTATGGACCCCCACAGGACCGCTCCAATTCTATGTAGCACAGGACTCTTCAATACTCTTCTGGCATCACTTCAGCTAGCTTAGGACTTGTGTTCAGGCAAAAAGCCTGTGTTAGTGCTGAGTTTACTCCCCCTCCAGCATACACTCAATAGACATCTACTAAGGAACATGGATTAAAAGTTGGATGGTCTTTGGCCCTTGTCTCTATCTAGTAAAGGGCAGATATTTGCAGGATACCCCAGATTTTGTTTGTAGCAGTGTTGATGCTCAGGAAATGCAGTGCAGAGGAGCCCTCTGAACCTGAGTCTTTCTCACAGCTTGACTGTTCATGGTTTTAGGGCAACAAGACACACTGGAGAACAGTGATCTGTTTCATCACTTTGGGAGGAATGGGAAGCAGAACAGGGCTTGGAGGTGAGCAGGACCTCTGGGACTCAAGGACCCTCATGTTCTGACCTTCTGCTTTAGGCTGTTGCCTAGTTTCAAAATGATTTACAGAGAGGTGATGACGTCAATAAAAGATAATATTATGACATGAGCATGTCAACATTAACAAGATGCCATTTATTCAAGTGTAAAGGATTTGGAAAAAGGATCCTATATTTCTGTATTATAATACATTTCTGTCCAACTGATGATTTACCACTGGTAAATCAACCCTTTCTTTGAGAATTTGAATGTGGAGACAACTACAAGGCCTGAATTTAGTCTCCACAGGCAGGAGAGGATACCTGAAAGTCAAACCTGCACTCTGAACGAAGTATGACAGAGTCAGATATCATGGCTTTCTTCTTCTTTGTTTTCCGCTTAATGTCTGGCTTTAGTTTATGATATAATACTTGTAGGGCTGCTTAGTGGGCAAAGGACAGCAATAGAACTAGGAGACACTGCTTGTGTTGCCAGGTTTGCCTTTCCTAGATGCTGAATGATCATTAATTATCCCATTGCTTTGTGACATCATCTTCTTACCTGCAAATTTGGATGCTTCATAGTGGTCTCCTTGGAAAGGTGAGGCAATCTAGTGATAAAATTAGACTTAAACCCCCAAAACTTTAACCAGTATCTACAAAAGATGAGTGCCATATTTAACAGGAATGACTTTTCTTCTGTCACTTGACATCTGCCTTCCAACACTTTGCCAAGGAATTACTCCATAGGCTAATGGCCAGATGACATGCATCAGCACATGTCTCCCACCTTGTAAAATATGCTTGGTTTTGGATTGGAAGGGAGCTTTGGGAATTGTCTATTCCAATCTCTCTGCCAGGGACAGGCACAATAACTGTGTTTTTTGTAAAGTGCTTTGAAGCATCCTTCAACAGTATTACTACTTCATCTCCATGTCAATGCTTCCAGCAATCCAGTTATTGCTTAACCTGTTCTAATTTCCTAAACTAAAATCAATATGGGCATTGCATAGTGCACTACTACCCCAAGCAGATTACAGCCCTAATTTTCTGTTGTGAGGTGTGTGGCACCTGTCTACTCTGTTATTCCCATGAATTTTCAGCACACAGCTTTTGGGCATGTGATTGCTAATTCTTGTTGCTGCAAAATGGCAATTCCCTGTTTGCAATGGTAGTAAGGAGACTAGATCTATTCCACAGATGGATGTTCTCTTTCAAGGTGCAGGTGAAAAAGATTCAATGGTGTTAGTGGTCATCCACTGAGAGGAGACGTGCTGCTGGGGAAGGTGTCAGCTTCTTGCAAGGAACACTTGAAGAGCCATCTGGGGCTGTGCTGGGGAGCTCAAATCATACCTTGGGACCAGTTTGATTCTCATCTGTTTCTGACAAGCTGCAGCTTGGGGGAACTGAGACCACAAGTGTGCTCTTCCTGATCTTCTGTCTTTTCTTTTCCCTGTGGGCTCCTTCCTTCTTTCCCTTGTAGGCTCCTGCCTACCCCACATTCATATATTGCAGCTTAAAATTACTCTGATTTCTTTATGAGACTCTTCACAGCAAGTTCTTTTCCCATTATATCCATCAAGGCAGAATTCAGCTCCAATACAAAAACCTTTTCCCTAGCTATTCTCAATACAGTTGTTTCAGGGGTCCATATGCACTTGGACACCATCCTGTCTGTCTTCAATCAGGCTTTTTTTCATCCATTTATTTCTATTTTCATATATATACACCTTAGTGCAAATGAATGGGCAGGTTGGGAACTTTAATTATTGCCAAGCAAGAAGTGTCTCAAGAACCACAGAGGAATTTAATATGATGCATCATTACATCCGTGCTGGAGCTTCATTTTCCCTGAGTCTATTTTGAATTTGGAGGTGAAGAATGAGAAAGTGTCAGAAATGCACTATACACCATGGAAAGAATGCAAATAATGTTTCACAAAAGGACAGTTGCAGGTGGAACATTTAGATCTCTAAGTGACTCTGAGCAATGCCATGGCAATTTCAGTGGTTACTTTAAAGGAATACCAGAAATGAGTTGACTTATACTGACCCTTTAACCACACAATATGATTTTTTTTTCAGATAGCATGCAAGGATGTGCTTAAGCCACAATGCATACTCCTCAGTCAGTATTATCATTTTCCCCTTTTCCCCAACCATGTGTGAAAGAAACTTCAGAATCTGCCACGTACATGTTACCTATTCATGAACCACTAAAAATTTTTCCAGGCCCATGCTTTAAGAAAGACGCTTTCGAGGGATTCCCTTGATTAGCCAAAAATGAAGGGTTCTTATCTAACACCATCTTGTCTAAATTTACACAGCTTATGATGACGAAATAAAAAAATCTCAAGACCAGGTTTAAATACCACTGACAGGCAGATGAAGTTCATTCGTCTACTATCTTCTAATAGAAGAACTACTAGAAGTTGAAGCTCACTGCTTTTAGAATTGACATCTCCCAGAACTTCTCTGAGCATCTTAACTGAACCAAGAAAATGACTTGCCAGACCTACAGTTTGCTTGTTCTGTCTCTCATCATGATTTATTTTGGACATTTTGGAAACAGCTTAAATCTTCCTCTACTCCAAAATGATATAGACAAACTGAAAGCTGACTTTGTAAGTATGGTCTTCTACTGCATTTCTCTTCTCCTTGTGCTTTAGATACAGTCCAGACTTGAGCACTGCTTGACATACTCAGTCTGTACCAATAGAGGGTAAGCATGGAACAAATTTTTCAGGTATACCTTTTTAAAAACAAGAATATAGACAATTTATTTGGTTTTCCTAGAGTCTTTCACTAACATGATTCAGTTTTTCAATAGTCATAGTTATGTTTGCATTTCTTTCAGGGGCACTCTTCCTTTCACAAGAGCTTCTCCTAGCTCCATTCAGCCTTTGATTGCATGGAATGTTTTACAACAAGAAATCTTAATGCAATTTATGATGAATTAATGAATCTTGATTAAACTCTATTCAGATGCAACTTACTGACACTTTTTTAGTCTTAGGTTAGTAATGCTAATAGGGAATTTAGTATTAGTTAACAATATAAACAAAATAAATAATTTTTTGCTTTAAGAAATGCATCTGGCACTTATGGTTAGTAGTAGTAGTAGTAGTGTTACCCAAAGGTGATTCCTACTGCTTATTCTTTTGAAATTCCCTGTCTGTGACTAGGCTCTGGGATAGGAATGTTATCTGGCATGGTACTACTTTTTTTCAGGCAGACTTCTGTTAACTTAATAACTGTAAAGTTAATTCATCCATCTTCATCCAGGAGGCATTAAAGTAATTTACAGCTGAGTTTAGCTGGGATTATTAATAGAGATAAGAGATCTACAATACAGTCACTTCCAATGAACAGCTTTTACTCTTAATATTTTTTTTCCTTAAATGCATGAAAGCAGCTACAAAAATATGCTCCTATTTTCAGCTCTGATTTTGCCAGAATTTTGTGCACATGAAAGTTGAAATTTGGTAGTCAAAGAATCACCCTGCAGTACTGCACAATGAAGCCCAGCGTGGAACTTCCTTGTTTGCAGATTCATAGGAAACTGGCTGTAAAATTTGCCTTGTATCTTAAATTTGTCATCAGCATATATCAGAGAGATTCTCACTTGAATGTATATAACTCTGTTGGAGAGATCCTGAGCCACGGTGAGCTTCTTGCACTGACATTAAAAACTCTGGTCCACAGCAGGTGCTCCCCACCTTTCAGAAGAAGAGTAAAACAAAGTTTGGCAATGATGTGCTCAGCATGGGGAGCCAGCCAGCCTATGAGGTTTCTGTCAGCCTGCAAGTTTTCCCTTTGCAGTCACTAAATTTAAATTACTGAGCAGACAAAAAAGGAAATAGTGACTGTTGTATACAAAAAAAGAAAAAAAAAAAAGACACACAGAAGAGGAAATGATTCAGTTTACCTTTCCTTGGTAGGAGAATTGTATTGCTCTTTGTTTCCTAGAATCTACCACATTGTGTGGCACGGTGTGGCTAACATCTAATGGTTAAACTCCATCCCTGCAAGCCTTAGAGTAGCCCACTAACCTTGTATAACCCACTTGAGTTCTGCAAACTGTAGTTTTATACTAAAGTTAATTTTTTTCTTCTTCCATATGAGATTTTACTAAGAATGAATAAATTCAAGGCCACAGACTACTCATTTCCAGTTACCAGAAAACATGCCAAGATCAGATCTGACAATTTTCTAGCTGTTTGCTATGCTTATGGAGCTGAATTTTCAGCTGCCAGTACCAAAACTTGCAAGGAATGTTTGGTAAAATAGATGGTGCTAGATGTCTCTATTCAGATGAGTTACAGCAGGAGGAGACATTGAAAAGCAGACTAATGATACTTCTGGTACTAAGCAGCCATCCAAAGCATTTCAGCACTTAAAGAAGTGGAAGCATGGTAATAGATATAGGACAGTAGTGCAAAAATCACGTTGTTCTGTTTCTTACTGCTAATTGGAATACAGAACACAAATTTGCCTTCTGGTAAGTATTGTTTGTATAACAGATATGTTTGTTCTTTGTTGCAGAACTCAAGTCATTCAGACGTTGCTGACGGTGGACCTATTTTTATGGGGAAACTGATAAACTGGACAGAGGTGAGTCAGAACTAGATATGACAAAGCATCTCTGGTGCTTTGTGGGTACTTTTAGTGCAAAGCAGCTCCCAGGGCCAGTGTAACCAGCTGGGGTAGAAAGAACACAAGCAGAGGTCATTTCAGTAGCTTGGAAATGAGAAACAAATCCCCCCTAAAAAACGCTTCCCATAAAGATCGAGGTGCTTTATACTGCACCACAAAAGGATTCTGAGGTACAACCTAGCCCAGGAGATGAGTTTCAGCATCTTCTTTGTCATCCTGTTTCCAGCAACAGTGAGAACCCCTGCACGCTGCATTTTAACTTTGTTAATTTTCCT